GTGTGAGTTCTCGTGAGAATCACCTCTTCATTCCCTCCTGGAAAACACAAAGATCTTACTCGTGTCGTTATCTCTTTCTAGATAGCAAAAAACAGGAATTTCAACAAATTCTTCTGCCCTGGCCAGGAGGGGGATGTCAGGGTTGTCCTGAGGTAGGTTTCTCTCTCTCAGCAGCTGTGGAACAGTCACTGCAGTCCTTCCAGGACCAGCCATGCCCAGGCACCTTTGAGGAACCTCCTGTTCTCCACGTCTTGATGCAGAAGAAAACTCTGCCTCCCAAGGCAGTTCTGTGCAGTTCTCAGGGGAGCAGGGTTTGTAGGGTCACATGCTGAATTTAGAGACCTCAAGAGGCTTCCCTTGGTCACCTCATCATCAGAGCTTCCCCTCCCGAGCACCCCCTTCCCACACCCTATTTTTCACGTTGCCCACCCAGCAGGAGGAATGTGGGCCTTTCCTGAGGGGTTCATTGCTGAGCTCCAGTAAATACCCAGCTCTAAACCCCTTCTGTGACACAGCACCGATTCCTGGAGGCCCTACAACATCCTTCCTCCTTTGACCTCCCCTGTGCCACTGCTGGTTTACACCAAACCATTGCTCTCTGAACTGCTGAATTCATGTGCACGCTCATAATCATTCTCACATCTGTGGGTTCCACCAGGACCTTGTGCAGCCAGAGACAAGTCCCTAAAGGAGCTGGATGTGCCCAGGTTTCCTTTCAGGACACTATTCCTCAGAACCTGGAGGGTGGGTGAGGACCAGCAGCATCAACTCTATCCCTGAGTAGAGTCACTCTCACCTTACCTCCTCAAAATTCCCCTCTGGCGTCCTGTCCCCTACAGCCTTCCTAAAGACCCTGTTGTCCCACACTGGGTTATCAGATCCTACATGACCCAAGGGGTACCACAGATCCTCGTCCTCCTTCTTCCCACCCCTACAATCGCTCCAGACCCTCCTGCCTTCGCTTGCAAAACAAACCAAGTCCTACTTGGAAATTCAAGAGTCTCTTGTGGGAAGTAGAAATGGCCAAAGAGGTGGAGAAATAAAGAAGGGATAAGGAAGGAGAAGACATGGAAGCTTGGTGTTGTTTTGGGAGTGAAGAAGAAATCAAGTCCAGAAGGCAGCAATGACAGTTGGACTTGAAGATCTTCCATGTCTTTTCCAACCTCTGTGAGTCCATGGTTCCATAACTGCTGGGACACAGGAAACAGGCTCCTTGGACACTGAAACAACTGGGGTGGGGTTTCCACAGCACCTTTAATGTTGAGGATGTTCTCCACCTCGTTTCCATCTCTAGCTCTCCAAAGACACAACAAGATGTGAGTGGAGGGAAGGTGAAGGCCTTGTCCGTGTCTCTTCATAGCTGATCTTCTAACACGGAACAAAGCAGCTTTGGGGGGTCCATAACTGAGCAACCTGGGCTGGTGGAAGGTGACCCTGCCCATGGCAGGGTGTGGAACTGGATGGGCTTTAAGGTCCCTCCAACCCAAACTGTTATGGGATTCTGTGATCACTGAGGATGGGCAGCTGGATACATGGATACCCCTTTGCCTCCGGGAAGATCCTTCTCCTGACTCCTAAAATTATCTGACAAATAAAATTATTTGATCAATCCAGAAAAAAAAAAAAAGAAAAAAAAAACAAACCAAGAAGAAGGAAGGAGACAGGTATGGGCAGAGCAGAACTGAAACCAGACAGCACAACCCTGCCATGGGGCAGCTCCGGGAAGGGAGTCACCAGCTCCTGGGACCTGCTGTCCTGGCGTGGGAGTGACTGGTTCTTATTTTTAGACCAAACCACGACTGGTGAAAGCTGCCAGCTGAAAGTCCAGGCAAGAGGACAAGTTGGGTGTCTGTGCTGAGACAGGGATGGATATTCAGTTCTCTGGGAAGTTAAATGGACCAAATCTTGCTTTCCTGAGAAAGGAGACACCTCAGAGGCATTGGAGGCCTGGTGATGGCTGAACGTGTGCTGTGACCTTCCAGGGGTCACAGAGTGGGCCAGTCCATGGAAGGCTGGGTAGTCCTGCCTCAATATTCCTTTCACAGGCTCCAGCATCTCTCCTGGAGCAGAGATGGAATGTCCTTCCCCACCACTGACATCAGTGCCTTGACAATGTGAGCAAACATTCAGTTCCTCAACAACATTTTGCACCCTTGTTTCTTTTAATAAATCAGGACTGTTACTAAAACATTTTAAAAAATAATGTCCCATTGCCTAAAACCTCCTCTCCATCCCTGTTTCTGCACTTCTTGCCCTCTCCCATCTGACTGCACACACGGGTGGGTGCTCGTCTCTGCCCCATCCCTGAAAACGATTTCACTGGAGCTCAGTTCCCTTTGGAGAAAACACAAGGATGAGAAGGGGGAAAATTTGATAAAACCACCCACAGGAGAGATTTAGGGACAAATGGGGTTAGGTTTACATCCTTTACCCCTGGCTCTGGTTGCTCATTGCTGCTTCCCACTTGGAAATGAGCCTCCACCAACAGGTAACATAACGGAAAACACAGCGAGAGGTGTCAAACGTTAGCAGTGACCCTGATGAAAGGCCCCTGTGTTTGGAGAGATTCAATAAAGGAATTGAAGGCTCCTCTTGTTGATCTAAGGTGTGTTTGTTTCCCTCTAACCCTGCAGAAACTCTGGCAGAGCTTGTCGAGACCTGTTTGGGTCCCTGGGAAGAATTGTGGGAATGCGACCACGGAGAGGTTGCTCCAGCTCCCAACCTTCCTGTGCTGAGTGTATGGGGTTGGTGTCTAAGCCATTTTCTGGGTTGATTTATCATGGGAACTGTTCAGAGCCCAGTCATCAACCCCATCATTCATTTGGCCAAAGTGGCAGAATCGACAACCTGATGAAAGAATCCCACAATGATTTGAGTTGAAGGGACCGCAAAGCCCATCTCTTTCCACCCCCTGCCATGGGCAGGGACACCTTCCACTAGCCCAGGTTGCTCCATGCCCTGTCCAACCTGGTCTTGGACACTTCCAGGGATGGGGCATCTCCATTACATTGCTATCACGAAAAAGCTTTTTTGTTTAAATGCTGTGAATGACATATTTCACAATAACATTAATTTTTTTGCCCTTTATCTGAGATTTTACCACAATGCTCCTCTTGACAAGCAAATCTTTGTTCCATAACCTCCAGTGGAGTTGGTCAGAAATGCCCAACTGTGTGTGCAAGACACAAGGAACTGGATCTATGTGGAAGGTGCCCCTGCCCATGGCGGGGGGTGAGAACTGGGTGATCTTTCTTGCCTTGAGCTGAAACATCCCATGCCACTGGCACAGAGATGATCTAACACCGACCCACAGCACAAAGGGAACGAGTCAAGAAGGGACTTTTTTGTTTTGCTGGGGTTTTTTTTGCTGTTCCAGCAGTTGATAGCCAACATTAACAAACCTCACCTGCCTGGAAAGGTCAAGTAGTTTTTCAAGTATTAAAGTATTAAAACATGAGAGAAGTCCCATGTTGTGGGGCGTCACCACAGGCTTAAAGTTAAGCCTCGGCTGGAGGGTGGTGGAGCTCAGCTGGCACTCGGATCCATTTATTGAGGATCATGGGATCACAGACTGGTTTGGGTTGGAAGGGACCTTAAAGCTCCTTCCAACCCCTGCCATGGGCAGGGACACCTTCCACTAGCCCAGGTTGTTTAGCTGTCCTAAGGTATGTGCAGGGAGGAGAGCCTGACTAAATTCCACTTCCAGATGCTGGCAGGGGCTGGGAAACCACAGGAGGCTGGGAATGCCCAGCTGTGCCCAAGGGGAGCGAACAGTTCCTGCCCGGAGCCCTGAGCAGAGGGAACAGTGGATTTGCAGGGTCAGGAGGCTGCAGGGGGAAGGGGAGCCCGTGTTCAGCCTGCCAGGGCTTTTTAATCAGGAGTTTGGGGAGCTGCTTGAAGGAAACAACACCCATCACCTGGAGGCAGAGTAAGAGCTGCTATTTCTGGTGGCTCCACAGTGCAAACCAAACAGGAGGATCAGATGGACAACAAGGGCAGAGCCAAAGCAAGCGGAGCACGGTCAGGACTGCAGTTGGTGTTTACATGTCAGTGGTGAAGCGTGGGAGGAATCCAGCCCCAAGGCTCCCAGTTTGGCTGCTCAGGCCCCACAGCAGTGCCGGGAGAGCAGGGGGGATGTGGCTTGAGGGAGAGCTCCATGAGCAAGATGCTCCAAAACAATGCAAAAGAGGAAGAGAAGGGAAGGGGTTTGTCTGGTGAGGTGGGACTATGGCTGTGCCAAGGGAACAATCTCCCTGCCCAGAGCAGGAGGGAGGAGAAGGAACAACGGTAGGGAACTGGCAGAGATCTTCCACTTGGACACTGCCTCCAGTACAGGGAAAAACATTACAGAAAACCTCAAATCTGTCACGCACCTCCCGGTGTTTTGAAGCGTTTGGGCCATAACTCATTGTTTCCTTTGTTGAGGTTTGTCTTTATTGAGTGAAGTTCCCTCATCCCTCGCTCCCCCTGGGCCTTGTTTGCTTTTGGGGAGAGGAAAGTTCTATTCTCTGCTCTTGGCAGAAAACTGCTGCCCCTCCACAGCCCATAACACAGGTCCACGTGCTTGGGGACCTGCGTGTCCTGGGCCAGCCCCCTGTCCTGGGGCAGCAGCACTCAACCCCTGGGCAAGGTGTCCCTGTCCTTGGCAAGGGATGGAACTGGATGATCTTTAAGATCCCTTCCAACCCAAGCCATTCCACGATTCTCTGAACCCTCTGCAGCTCCCAGCTCGGCCACGACCATGGATGTTCCTTTGCATGTTGGAAGGAGCTGAGTGTCCCAAGACCAGCTGGGGACTCACCTGGGCCAAGCAGGGAACAGCTGTGAAGATGCCAGAGAAGGAAAGGGGTGAGTGACGCTGTAAACCCTCTGTCAGAGTTACACCTTCCAATATTTATTCCTTCCTCCAGTGCCTCGTCATGGAGCTCTGCCATTTCTGGAGGGTGAATAGCTCAGTGGAGATCAAATGAAACTCAAAGCCCTTTCCTTACGTTCCAAAAAGAGGATTTATTTAGAGGATTTATTTTAGGATTCTAAAATACACAGATCTGAGTGTTGTGGAAGGGGATACACAAGCAGCCAGGGCCTTCACAGTCCACTGCGCTTTGGAAACACTGGGAATTCCTGCAGTAAAGCATCACTCCTGCTCCTGCTGGTATTCCATGGGCAGGTGTCCCGGCGGTTCCAGGCACTTACTGGGGATAAACAAGAAATCACCGCAGAAAGCTCCCAGGAGAGGCAGCAGGTGGGGAAGTGCTGCTGTTCCCAAGGAGGTAAGAACCTGGTAGGAGAAGGAATGGCTCTCCCAAGGCCGTGTGCTCCAGCAAGGCATGGGACATCCTGTGTCTTTTAGGGAGACCAGACTCTGTTTCTTGGCTCAGGGGAAGGTTCCTTTGGTTCAGAGCACTCTGTTCTTCACTCTCTCAAAGATCTGCATCACTTTTCCTGCTGGGATGCAGCCTTCCCGCACGATGGTGATGCCACCTTCCCACAGGAAGGATGAACAAGTCAGGATAATCCCCAAAGGGTGAAAGAAAGGGATGGGGGGATAAAGGACTATCTTGGAGCAGCAAAGCCTCCCAAACGCCCAGAACATCCAAATAATAAAGTTGCGTAAAAGGACCAGAAACTTTGTCAGAAAGTGAAACCACCGACCAACAGTGAGCCCACTCTTTGTTCAAGGGTTTGCTTTTCCACTCAACCCCTCCCAAATGTCAACCCAGACCCAGCTGACGACACCTCAGCTCGTGCTGCTGCGTCATTGCGGACGAGCTCCTGGAACACCTTCGTTCTCGTGGTCTACCAGCAACACCCACCCTTCCTTCCAGAGACATCCACCCTCCCACTTGGGTCACTTGTGCTCTTACAAGGCAGATCTCGCTTGCACAACTGCGTTTCTCCTCGCTGCCTTGTTCTCTGTCAACACAGAGGTCCTCCAAGGACATCTTTTGTTTGCTTCTCTTCATCAACATGTTTGCAAATGTCCGGGCACTCAAGAGCTGTTACTCTTGGAGCACACTGTGCTGCCAGATTGATACTAGTGAAAGGGATGGAAGCACCCCAGGAGAATGCAATTGCTGGCACAAAAGGGTGGTTCTCACACTCACTTTCATCAATCTTTGTGCAGTTGACCACAGTGGATGCCACCACCTCGTCAGATTCTCCATCACAGAGAACACCCTCCAGCTTATGGCCGAGACGCCTGCAGGGAGGAAAAAAAAGGCAACAACACTTCACAGAACTTCACATCACCCTGTGCTGAGCTTCCCCTCCGTGCAGGGTGTCCATCACCATGTCAGCTCGCTGGGCACCCACGTGGCAGGGGTGCCAGTGCCCGGGGTACTCACGAGATGACCATGTCGTGGTGTGTGCTGTCCACCTCCCCGCTGGGGTTGGCCGACGTGACGGCCAAGGGCCCCGTCATGTCGATGAGGTGCACCAGGACTGTCAGGTCAGGGACTCTGATCATGATGCTGTCTTGAGTTCCCACCCTGCTGTAGCCTGCTCCGACCCCTTGAAAGACAGACAGAGGCAAGGCTGGCACAACAGCTGCTGTGGCATCAGGGCAAGTCCTCCTGCTTCCTTGGCGAGTGGCCCTGCTCCCTCCACACCCCGAGCTGTGAGTCTCTAGGTGTGTGCTTCACTCTGGAGCACAAATCCATGGCAGTGGTAAGATTTTGGGTCTAACTGGATAAAAACTGAGTTTGGGACAGTAAAACTGGATTTGGGACAGTAAGATTTGGGGTCTGACTGGATGAAAAGGAAATGATTCACACCTGGAGACAGCACAGCTGTTTTCATGGACATGGGATCTCCCTGTATCACAAAGTCTAGTCCTTGTGAGCACTGCCCACCCTCTGCCACGTACCCCCGCCTCTTAACACGCATAATTCCTACAACTTCCTCATCCCACACTATTTCCATTGATTCCCAGAAGCCAGGGTTGAGGTGAATCATCCCACTGCTCACAGTGCTTGCCTTTGTCCATGTGGTGGGAAGGAAGAGGCAATGAGCAGGGGTGACCATAGGAACCCTCTCGGCTCATTGATGCTCCATCCGGGATTTGCTCATTCCTAACAGCAAGGGGCTTGGTGGAGGTGACCCTCCCAGGCTGAGGAGCCTCCCTTGCTCCTAGTTAAAGAGCTCATCATGCTGGCTCCCACTGTTAATGGGTCATTCCAGCTGATTAGCACCCTCTGCTAAACATCTACCAAAGTATCTGAGAGCTCCAGAGGCAATTCCTTAGGACAAAATGAATAGAATCTCCCCCTATCACATGCAAAAGGGTGTGTGGATTGCAGACCTGCTGTGTTGAAAACGTGAAAGAGGGAGAAAAGGACTGTCCCGTTCATCTCACCCAACTTCTTCAGCCACTCTCCTTTCTGGATAATGCAGCCGATGCCACCAGGGTAAACATTTTCCATGAATTCCCAGAGCAAGGGGCTGATGGGGGGAGCAGCTGCTCGCAGCTGGTCCAGGTTTGAAATGAAGATGCAGATGGGCTTCTCCTGAGGCCTGTCCTGAAAAAAAAAACAGGGAGAGAGGAAGGGGAAAAATAGATGAAGAGAGAAAGTTTGCCTTGACAATCTCGAACCCCGCTGGGATCCTGGTTTGTGGGGTCCCCAGGGACCAGGAGCTCCGGGCAAGCAAGATGCTGTCTCTGCACAAAATGCTGAGCAGAGGAGGGGACCAGGCTCTGCGACTGATGTCACAGCTCAGATCTGCATGTGCAAGTTGAAGAGAGAGAACAGCAGCCTGCCCTTGGGATCTTGGCAGGATGCATCCAAATCCCCCACTTTAGACATATCCATTGCAGGGACAGCGACACTCTGCTCATTATCAACATATTTAAGACCTTATACACCAAGGACCTGATTTTTAACAAGCTTATGCTGGTGCAAATCAAGGTCAAACCTACCAATTCACGATGGGATAATGCACGGAGAGACCCAACATCTCCAGTGCTGCCTCTGAAGCAAATTTGATGTAAAATGAACAGTGAGATGGAGGAGAAGTAAAACAAGCTCACAAAGCGGTGTCATTTCAGTCCTCAACTGACATCAGCTCCAGTGGGGCCAAATGACTAAGGAGCTGGGCATGTATTTACATTCTGTTTATATTATCTCATCTGCAGGGAAGGTTAACATTGGCACCAGAGCAGCCCAGAAAAGACGGCCTTTGTTGCCTCTGCTGGCGCTCGGTGCCAGCTGAGATCGTCTGTTATGCTTATTCCTCCAGGCTAGCCAGGAAATTGCCTCATGGAGCACAGACGGGCCCAGGCTGCAAAAGTTGTGTTGAAGGTGCAAACTTTGTGGCCGGTTCCAGCACTGAATGTCTCCAAAAGTCTGGGGAAGTTTAGCCCTGGGATTCTGATTCAGCACTTCGGGAGACAGAGGGGACAAACACAGGTTTGGACCTGTCTGTGATGAGTGTCGGGGCTGTGCCAGGTTGGAGCTGGGCTTTGCCCTCCCCAGGAAGGCAGGATGGAGCCGCCTGATTCCCAGTGCCCTGTGCCCAGAGCAGAGGGGGCTGTACACCAAGTTGCTCAGCAGAGAAAATGGTCCATGATGTTCTGGTGTGGCTGCTCAGGAGCTCTATCCATGGTCAGGTTCTAAGTCTTAGGACAACTTGAAACCGGGGGCTCCCCTTTCTGCTTCTGCATGAACTCATCTCATTGCAGGTACAACCTCCTGGGCAGGGGCAGAGGAGGGGCAGGGACTGAGCTCTGCTCTGGGGGGACCAGGGACAGCGCCCAGGGAATGGCTGGAGCTGTGTCAGGGCAGGCTCAGGTTGGACCCCAGGGAAAGGTTCTTCCCCCCGAGGGTGGTTGGGTTGGTGGTTGACCAAGGCTGCCAGAGCTCAAGGGGTGTTTGGATGATCCTCTGGGGCACAGGGTGCGATTTTGGGGTGTCCTCTGCAGGGTTGGACTGGATGATCCTTGTGGGTCCCCTCCAGCTGGGCAGATTCTGGGATAGCCTGGAGCTGTGCCAGGACAGGGTCAGGTTGGATCTCAGGAAAAGGTTCTTCCCCCCAAGGGTGGTTGGGCACTGCCCAGGCTCCCCAGGGCAGTGGGCACAGCCCCAAGGCTGCCAGAGCTCCAGGAGGGTTTGGATGATCCTCTGGGGCACAGGGTGGGACTCTGGGGATGGGCCTGTGCAGAGCTGAGGGTTGCACTCGATGATCCCTGCATCCCTTCCAGCTCAGCATATCCTGTGAGTCTGTGATCTATAGGACATAGATCCAGGTAACCAGACCTGTGTTCACACCTTGATCCTGTAGACCTTCTCGATGGCTTGGGGGTGTTTGCAGGAGGCTGCCAGGGCATACACGGTGTCCGTGGGGACCCCACACACGGCCCCCGTGTTCAGCAGCTCTGCGATGGTCCTCAGGCCACTCGTGCAGTGGGACTGGGGGCACACACAGGGTGGGGGATCCTGGGTGTCCTTCTTGGAGCTCCCGGCCTGGGAAGAATCAGGAGGCAACAAAGACATTACGGTGAGAAGAAGGAAATATGTGAACCAAGGGGTGGGATTCACCCAAATGCAGGTGGATTGTGCTCCCTGGGTAGTCAAAGGGCACAGGCAGCACTTCTAGGGATGCTTCACCCAAAGTAGGTGACAATTGCAGTTAATAAAGTCCAAGAGACTAACTCAGGGTGGACATTTGAATTCAACTCCTAAAATCAGAGGAGATGAACCCCACCCAGCGCAGCGACTGCTTCCTGGAGAAACAGCTGCTCTCCAAAATGACTAAGGAAACTCAGAGAACCCTAAACCCAGAGGAAGATCAAGTTTCAAGTGTTTTCTCATGAGTCTCCCGTGGTTAGAAATGCTGATTTTATGAAAATGTTTCTCTGCAGCAGGAATCTGAGCTGTCAAATCCATCACTCCAGTGAGGGGGGACTGCCTTGGTCAGACACAGCAGGTGGTAGGAGCAGTTTGAAGTTCATAGATGCAGGGGGGAACTCCAGCTGTCCAGTCTGGAGAACTTTTAACTCCCCTGCTCCCAAGGTTACGGCCTTTAGAACTTCAATCTGCCAGGAATTCTTGGACTGGAGGTGGCTAATTCCACAGGACCATGGAGACAGGCCTTTTGGAGCAAGGTAGGAGTCTTGTAAACACCCTTGCCCTTTCTCCAAGTTTCCATGCCTGTTATTCCTAATGGAAGAGGGCTCGTTTCCAACTCCTACAGAAATGCTGTGACGGGGATTTCGAGTGGCACTAAGGGATTCAGAGGAAGGGAAATTCCATGGAAACCTGAAGACCCCAGAATATCCCTTCCCAGCAGGGAAGCTACACCATCACACAAAACATGTCTTACTGTGAACAGAGGAGGTCCCATCATCAGGAGGTCCTTCCCAAACATGCAGTTTGCCAGCGATGCTGTTGCTCCGTAGAAGCAGAGGATGCTGAAGATGCTCAACACCACAACTGGGAAAAAAAATGGGAATCAGAGGCAGGAAGGGTGATGGAGTCACCAGCCCTGGAGGGATTTCACAGCTGTGTGGATGTGGCACTGGGGAGTAGGTGGCTTTGGCAGTGCTGGGGGAATGGTGGGACTCTATGGTCTTGGAAGGCTTTTCCAACCTACATGATTTTATGCTGCTGTGATTCTACTTTGTGAGGATAAAATGGTAGAAAAGCTTCTGCTAAAGGACCTCATGGAATTAAAAATAAAATTTCCACCTGCAGCAAAGCCAGAGCTTCACCAGAACTGCAGCCAGGGACACCGGTGGCACATTTAGCCCATCCCACACCTCAGCTGCTGGGAAGTAGGACTGTACAGAACCTCTGGAGGCTGAGCTGATCCAGCAGGATCAGCCACACCTAAAGGCTTGTTTGGAAGCTCAGGGCCCTGGGGCTGAGGTCCTGGGGCTGAGAGGCTCAGTCCCTGTTGCCTGCACACACACCAGCCTTCAAAGGAACATTCTCTACTTGCTTCTTTCCAAACTGAGCTTTCCACACTTCTCCCCAACCCAGGACCCGCTCACTGCACTCTGTGGGAAGGTTTGATGACCAAGTTCCCCTAAAACTCACTTTCAAACGGCAAAGGGAGGTTCTCCAGTGTAAAGAGCAGAAAACAAATGCTCAAGAGCTCCATTGCAAGGGTCACACAGAGCAGCACCACATTAAAAGAGGAAGCTGTGGAAAGAAACACAAACAAAAGGCCCCATCAAAGCATGGCCCATAAAATGTACATGGAACAGTAAAAGGGTTCCTAAACCAACTGAGTCTTGTTTGATTCAACTGAGCAGCCAAGATCTGGTTTCCCTGGTCGAGGAGGAGCAGAGGCACGGCCCTGGTTTGTTCAGCCCTCAGGTTTCACGGGACACGCTGCCAAACCCTTGATCTGCCAGTACACTGTGCTCACATGGAAAACACTCCTCAGGCAGCCAAGCAGATCCTGATTTACACCAGCTGGGCTGGAGTGTGACTGTGGATTTGTGCCAGTGGCCCTGTCCATCGAACACTTTCACCTTATTTGAACCTTTTATTTTCTTTGAGATGTTCTTCTGTTCCCTTGGGACTGTTTCTTCTAAGCCCAGCTCAGCTTCTGTTACTGGCTGTGGGCAAAACATTTCAGCTGTTGCCTAATCGGAGCGACAGGAAGAGCTGAGCCTCCCTCACCTGTGCATTCCCACCACAGAAGCACTCATGACCTGACCCCAAATACCCCTCAATAAACAACCCCATTGGTGCTGAGACTTACCTAGAACAATTAAAAAAGCATTGAGCACCAAAAAGGCAATGGAACCAGCGGTGAATCCCTCGGTGTTCCCCGCACCGATGTTCAGCAGGTGGCCTGAAATAGGACCAGCACATCTGGTTATGAGCAAACCATGAAGAGCACGACAGAAGAATGACAGAAGGGTGACAGATCTGTGGCTGGAATTACTCCAGCTCAGGTTAAAGGATGGTGGCCTCGCAAAGAAAACCTCCTGCTGCTTCTGCAACGTGAAGTATTTGAGGTATTAACTGGAGAACTGGTGGTGACCATCCAAAAATAGCTGATGATTTTACCTCCAGCTCATAATCCTCAGGGCCTGGCTGAACACATCAGCAGCTCCTGCCACACCTCTGGAGGAACAGCTTCAACTCTCCCCACAGGTGTTCATTTTAATAGGGCCTGGCACGGAGGCTGCATGGACACGCTGCCCACCCGGAGCCAAATACAGCTCTCAGAGCCCGGGCTCAGCATTCTGAGAGCTTCTCTCATGGCTGTCATCAATTGGGATGAACTTCTCCAGGCTGCCGAAGGATAAACCCGGAACCTGGAGCCTTCCACCGCCTAAAAAGCATCTCCTGAAGCGTTATTGTGAGATAACAGCCCAGAGACAGCCTCACAATATTTTAGCAGGGAGATCTTGGCCTCTGTTGGAGTTGAAGACACTCCTTGGACCCCTTAGCTGTGTGTACCAAGTGCCTGTGGCAAGTGCAAGCTGGGACGTTTGGGCACTATATTTTTACAAGGTGGAAAATTAGTGAACGTGACATGACTGACTCTCCCATCAGAAAGAAGGAATTAAGTGGAATCGAGCAATCTGAATTCCCTAAAAGCATCCCTTTTTCAGCGACTGAGCCGACGGGGTGCCCACCCCGCGCGTTACCTGCCAGGCGCAGCCACGCCCAGGCCGCCCAGAAGGCAGCGTAGCAGAACGGGAGGACGGAGCCAAACCTCCTCCCTCCCCAGGCCTGGATCCTGCACACGTAGAGCTGCCCCACGGCCCCCGGGATGAGCACGGAGGGGATGGAGAGCTGCTGCCTGCCGGGGTCCCCCAGGCCGCCCTGGATGGCAGAGGCCGCGGCCAGGCCGTTGCAGATGTAGAACAAGGCGTCGGGCACGGCGGCGCCGGTGCCGCCGGGGAGCTCCTTGGTGCTCGTGAGGAGGGCTTTGAGGGCCGCCAGCGCGGTTTGGAGAGCTGAGCTGGACACGGCCTGGGCGCCCACCGGGATCAGGGCCTTCTCCCCGATGGAGTTGGTGAGGCTGGCGAAGGTGGCGTACAGGGACAGGGCCGTGCAGAGGCTGCAGGCGGTGCCCAGGAGGGGCTGAGCGCCGGGCAGCGGGATCTGATGGATGAAGGCCGTCGTGAGGATGAAGAAGGAGGCGTTTTGCAGCATCTCCAGGGTGTCTTTGTGGGTGGACATCAGGAACAGCGTGCAGGCGGTGGCCAGGAAGAACCACCCCCCAAACATTCCCAGCCTGCTCTCCTGAGCCCGGGGCAGCCCAAGGAAGGCGGTGAGGATGAACTCTTCCCAAGACATCACCAGCCAGCAGAGGCTGTGGACGCCAAACTTGGTTGTGTGGTAGACATCACCTCGGAGGTAGCTGTAGAAGCTGGAGAGCAGCTGGCAGCTGGAGATGATGGAGATCCACACCGCCCCGACACAGAAGGTCTTCATGTACCCAAAGAAGTAAAAGGCGAAGATAAAGGGCGACACCGTGTCACAGATGTTGCCCAGGGCCATCGGCTCGGCGTACTTTGTGTTCTTTTTTTTTTCCTCCCCGATGGCCTTGGAGGAGCTTTTCTGTGCTGACCCCAAGAGCAGGACATTGAAGAGGGGGTGCCCGAAGCCAGGAAGGACGTAGCGCTGTGTGATGCCCTTGAGGAGCAGAGCCACCGCCCCGTACAACCCGCAGGTGACAATGACCAGCTCGATGGCCCCCGACACCACCAGGGCCCACTGGCAGAACAGGGCGACCGCCTCGAACACCAGGGCGAGGGCGATGGCCCCGAATATGAAGGGCATGACGTAGTTGATGGTGGCTGAGCAGAAGCAGAGGACGAAGGAGATGGAGATGTAGGCCACCAGCCCGGCCACCGCGCTCTGGCTGGCGGAGAGCTGGGCCGCGCCCAGGGGCGGGAGGTGGCTGCCGTTCCCCGCGGGCAGCGTGGTGTTCTGCGGGGAGGGGTAGGCGGCTGACACGATCCGCGTGGCCCCGTAGCTGCTCCACAGGGCGGAGAAGGTGAGGAAGGCCGCGCCCCCAAGGTGGTCGTACTTGCGGAAGGCGAGGAATCCTGCCAGGAGCTGGACGAAGCCTCCGATCAGCACGAGGTGGACACCTGAGGGACACGTGAAGTGGTCAGGTGCGAGGCAACCCACAAGAGGGCTTGAGCCGCAGGAAGCAGGTCCCACAGCCTTCCTGTGAGCGGCCCTGTGGCCTCTGCCTTCCCCTCTCTTCCCGCCTTTATGTCAGATTTCTGTGTGGGCGCTGAGCCCCTTGGCACGCTCAGTGTGGGGAGCAGGCCCGGGAGCAGTTTGGATGTAGGAAAGTGGCAGGGAATGGCACATGGAAGGTTTGGACCAGACTCCGGGCAGCGGCTGAGGAAGGAGGAGCAGCCACCCCCAGGGGCACACAGGCAGCCCACCCATCCCCAGTAACGGTGACCATCATCCCATGGGGATGGCTCTCCAAGAGTCCATCCCGCCTGGTGCCGTCAGCTTGGACGTTCACCTCCATCCAGCACCCGCGGTGTCCCCGCCGAGCAGCAACCACCCACCTGCCAGGATGTCCTCTGCCCCCCTCGGCCTGAGGCCGCTGTGAGCCACAGCGAAGTTCTGCAGGCAGAGCAGGAAGGCGCTGACCACGTTGCCCAGGAGCCCCAGCACGGCCGGCTCGCTGTAGAAGACGGCGGCGAACCCCGCCATGGCCCTTCCAGACAAAACAAGAGCGTCGGCCGTCGCCCCCACAACCCCGTCGGTGTCTAGACCAGCACTGCTCGGGCTCCCGGCCAGCCTTCAGAGCCGTGCCCCTGCTCCGAGGAGGGAGCAACTGGTGACAGGCTCAGGTGTTTCCATGGTGCCTCCCCGCTCCTCGCTCCAGACAAAGGCTCGATTCAAAGCACCACTTTAGGTGCCTGCTTTCCGGAGTCCTATCCAGAAAAAACACACACAAGCCATTTAGGCTACAAGGAGTTCTGGCAAAAACATGTTTAGGTGCCCCAAAGCGCTGCAGGTGGTGGGGATGGTTCCTGTCCCCTCTTGTCCAGGCTGCTGGAGATGGGGAGGAATGAATAACCCAACGCGGACGGACAAACATTCAGGCGAAAGCCACAAGGTATTTTTGAGCCGTTCCAGGACGTTTCTTATCCACTGTTACAGACAAACAGGCACGACACTCACATACACAGTCTCCCTTCCAGATGGAATTTTCCAGCTCCATCCCTTTCTTGAAACCCCAGTGACTAAATAGTCTATTTTCAAACCCTTCATATTTCTACCATGAACTCGCCTGTTTGCAGGCAGCCCCCACATTCCCGTTCCTCTGCACTCCTGGGTACCAGGAGCTGAAGTTTTCTCTCTGGAGGTTTTTTGTTGGGAAACAAAGATGAAAATAAAACAGTGATGTTCTTGTTATTTGGGTATTTTTAGAACATTTGATGACCTAAAAGAGCTGGAAAGGGAGACAGTGATGTATTCTGTTCTCAGCCATTCCAAAGAGCCTTTTGGAAAGGGAGGAAAGCACCACTATTGATACGGGGAGGAGGGAAGGAGCACCACCCAAAAAAGAAATAGTGATGTGAATAATAATGAACCTAAATCCCAGGAACACACAGTTTTCCTCAGCACAAATATACATTTTGCAAACATCAGTGCTCTCGGGACTCTCTTGTTCTACTAAAAAACCCATGTTTTCCTCTCTCCATTTATCCTAAAGGTTGCAATTTTCCCAAAGAGAGCAGGATGAAGGATAAATTGACTCCAAACTGGCTCGGCAACATAAACTCCCATCAAACGTGGGAAGGGGTAAAAACTTTCAAGTGAACCTGGGGGAACAATTAATTATTCAATTATTTGGTTGTGCTGAAGGATGGAATTTTTGGTTCAGAAAGAGAGATGCACCAAATCCCAGCTCTGAGAGGGGAACACTCTCTCTCAACATCAAACACCTCTCTGTGCTACTGACTTGAAGGAAGCCCCAAGGAATGAGGGGCTCTCAGGCAGAGCTGAGCCTGTGCAGTCCAGAACTTTTTTATTAGTATTATTACTTTCAATGACATTCCTATATAAATAAGTGGTCTGATTTCAAAGGTTAGTCTTGGAGAAGGGCCACAATCTTAACTTCCTCCAGATGTTTTGCTCTGAAGGAGCTCAGGCAGTGCCTTTCTGGGCATCGTGCAACAAGCCCCTGTGTGGAGTCGGTCCCTGGAGGAGGATGAGGTGGGTTTTTGGAGGCAGATGGGCTGGCCAGGTGACTCCTTGGCTCCCAGAAGTGGTTTTCAGTTTGCCAAGGCTCATTTTGTTGGTGGTTTCTGTGTAATTGGCTGTGCTGGGGGGTTTAGAGCCTGTGACAGGCACCTGGGATTTGTGAAGGATATAGAGACACAACTAACAGGGATGTTTCCCTCTGCTTCCAGTGCCAGCCTTCCTAGGACACCAGAGAAGGGGGGAAGAGAAATACCAGAACATGCTCCAGAGTTGTAAAGGATGTGAGAGGGTTCAATCCAAGATATGGAAAAGGAGGAGGATGAAGGAGGTTCCCTTGGGAGGAGAAGGTTTTGGGGTTGGAAACAGCTGCACACCCACTCCCCCCCACAATGCCAACACAGCCTCTGGCCCCTGTCCTAAGGCCACTCCAGCAGCTCTGCATTGCCCCTGCCTCTATTTCATCCAACATGAGGACACACCAAAGAATTAAAGCCCTCCAGTAGTCCCAGGGGCAACAGCACTGGAATGTTGTGGGCTGCAGCGAGGCTGGAGAAAGAGGGTCTGCATGGGAGCCCCCAGAGGGGTTTTCTGCTCAAATATGCCCTTGTCCCTAGGATAACATCACTCCTGGCTGCTGGCACTGTCCCTTCTGTGCAGCTGCTGCCTCTGGCACTTTGTAAGGACCTGTTTGCCCCCTTGCACCGCAGAGAACTGAGAATGTGGCACGATAAGGTGAGGGGGCACAGGAGGCAGAGCAGCAAAAGGGAATCCCTCCCTCCAGGTGGGGTTGGCAGCTCTCTGCACACACAGGGCACCAGCCAGCACAGCCACAGGGCAGGAAACCATGAGGATGGAGACCTTCCCATGGTGAGGAGGCACCTGGAGACCTGGGGAGCTGCCAGAGAGCTGCTTCTACCAAAGAGATGGGTCAGCCCGGGGTGATCCTTCCCTTGCACAAAACCCCTCCTGCAGTGAGGGCACAGCCAAAGCCACCCCTCACTCACCCAGCCTCCTCCACCTTCTCTCCTTTCCCTGCCCCTGACACTCTTCACCCTGGGAGTGGAAGAAGTGGCTTGTGAGGTCCTCCCCCTGCCCTGGCTCGTGACCTCCGAGCTGTGTCCACGTGGGGCAGCTTCTGGACACCACTTCCTTCACTCACCACCTTCCTCACAGACAGCTGCCCTTCACCCCCTCCAGAACAGCTCACCCCTCCTCTGCACCCCATTTCCATCTCTGTTAGACCAGGCTTTGCATCCTCTTTGCACCAACATCCAGCTACTGGTGGTGCTTCAACCCCACCAGTATTAATGGGAATATTCTGGTGCATGGACATTCCCTCCTTGGGAGGCTGGAGCAAAGCTCCACGTGCCGTGGGACACGTAAACAACCACGAGCCCATTAACTTCTCAGACACCTATCCCCCAGTGGCATTTTGCCCTTAGTTTTCCATCCCACCTTATTAGTGATAACAGATGTTTGTGCAGCTCTGAGGAAACGCTGCCTCTCTCCAGATAAACATGGAGAGAGAACAGAAAAGCAATTCACTTTGGATAAACAAACAGCAAGATGATCAGTGCACGACAACACCACACAGCTGGATTAAAAAGTCCATTAAAAAACCCTCCTCTGGTGCCAGACAGCACCAAATTGCTGGAGACACATTGCTACACGTAAAGGTCTGCATGGTAGTTAGTAGAAAATGCAGTTTTAAATACGAGGTGTATGACAGCAGGCTGTTATTCTGCCCCAAATAATATGCAGCATGTTAAACACCCCCAGGTTTCACTGTTGGACAAAGCAGAGAGCCCCATAATTCAACCATTCATTCGGGAGTGAAGGCTCCCAGTGTCCCCTGGAAGCTCCAGAGTTCACACCTGCACTCCCAGTTCAATGGCAGAGCTGGAGCTTTAGAAGAAGGAGAGCTATGAAAGGCTCAGCCAAAGGACCAAACGCTGAATGGATTCAAGAAAAGCATCAAACAAACCACCAATGCCTCGCTGCTGGGATTACCTGCTCTGGTGACACTTCTGCTCAATGGGAGGATGCTCTTGTCCCTCTCATTTCCTGGTAAGTCCCAGTTTTATAGTCCTCCTCAGGAGGAGGAGCCTGGGGCCAGTTGCTTCACCCCTTGGCACCTGCAGCATTTTGGAGACAGGAGTTTCCTTGAACTTCATCAGTTATTGTCCTAAAGCTTTTCTTCTTTCCTGACACCCGGTGGGAGGGGGGTTCCCTTCTGTTCAGCAGAGACAAACCACCCCTCCTCATCTCTTCCCCCCACCCTCTGGGTCCCCAGGGGCTGATGTCATCACACTTGAAATTCAGATGCAAAAAAACAAAAAGCAAATTGCCTTTGGGAAGCCCTATAAAAACCCTGACACCAAGCACCTTCCAGCCACACACCTCTGCATCCCTCGCCCGCAGCAGCGCCGAGCTGGGCACCCAGCGCTGGGAAAAGCAGCCACCAGCATGGTCTACTCCACCCTACAGGTAACCCTTCCATCCACCAAACCCTCTCCATCTCTTTCCTTTTTCACTCCGAGGAGGAAACATCTCTTTCCGGGCCGTTCCTCAACCGGTCAAAAATTCCCGTGGCGTTAAACAGGAACCTGCCCCAAAATGAACAAATCCAGATGGTTTTCACAGTCACCTCATTGAGTTGCTGACCTGTTGCCTGCTCCTTCCACGTGTCCCAAACGTGCTCTGCATGGTGCCCCGTGGGGTTGTTGTTGTTGGGATGTGCCGTGTGGGTTTTTCTCGGAGCTGCGAGATCTCACGGCGGGTCTGGAAAGGCTCTGCTGCCCCTTCCACTGTGCAGCTTTATTTCCCTGGATATTCTTGGCATCCCTGTTGGACTCAGCTTTGGAAAATATTTTGTGCCTCCTTTAAGTGTGTAGTTGGTTTTATGTGCTCCTTTGATCTGTGAGAGTCTCACGGTGCCGTGTTAGAGGCACCACCGGGAAAACTGCTCCGGAAAAGCTCCGGTGACAAACTCTCTGTCTGTGTCTTTCCTCCAGAAATCCCAGAAGCTCCTGGCAAGCTCCCGGCACGTTCACAAAACTGCTGCCCACGGTTTGTATCCCTCTGCAGAAAGGAGTTCCCCATCCTTTTTTAAGGGGCATCCCAAAATAATCGTGGCATTGCTTTGAAAGGAAGCGCCGGGCTGAGATAAACCACCCAAATCCTTGGAAAGCGAAGCGTGTTTGGGGGGTCCTGGGGTGGTTTTGTGCCCTCAGGGCTAAAGGACAAGGAGAAAAGCAGTGAATAATTGGGAGTCCCGTGTTAAACCAGAAGTTTTAACTGATTTAGAACCAGACTTTCCAAATTCTTCCTCTTTGACCCCAAAAGGAAGAGATTTAAATCGTGGCTGCCATGGGGTTTGAAACTGCTGATTTTGTGTGAAGCCTTTGAGCAAGTTTTTTCAGCAATAGCTGGCTTGCTCCCAGCACTGCTAATAAATACCTTTGCTGCTTAAAGATAAAAAAGTCTCTGAGCAGTTTCTCAGACCGATTTTTTGGATTCAGGTTGCTCAGATCCTTAATTCCTCTGTCCTTACTTCTTTACTGCACCTGATCCTGCTGTGGGCATTGCTTGGAGAGATTCATGGATCACTCTCCGTGTCTCCAGCACTGCCCAGCTTTGGACAAATTAACCAGAACTTGCCTGTGTAGCCCCTTGGTCTATTTTTTCTATTAATAAGTTTGTCTATTAACTTATTTAAAATCTACTATAAGTTTTAAAAGTGTGTTCTTGTTCTATCATAAATTTATTAACTTTTTCAAAAAATATTTTCTTGGTCTGTTATGTTTATTAACTTATTTTAAGCTGTGTTCTTGTTCTATCATTAAGTTTATTAACTTATTTTAGAACACGGGCTATTATATTTATTAACTCATAATGTGTTCTTCTTCTATCATAAGTTTATTAACTCATTTTAAAATGTTCCTAACTTATTACAGATTTATTAACTTATTTTAAAATGTGTTCTTTTTCTGTCATAAGTTTATTAACTTAGTTTAAAACATGTTCTTGGTCTATTATGTTTATTAACTTATTTTCAAATGCAGTCCTAATTTATTGCAAGTTTATGAACTTCTTTTAAAACGTGTTCTTA